CAAATTGCCAGTAGCAATTAAAAATTAATTTCTATCTTTGTGATTCAGAGCCTGTTTGAAGTGAGTGTTGTATTTGCTCATCCAGAGACAGATGAAGATTGCTGTTTTCTGTAAGTAATAATATAACAAACAATGTTTTATGAGAGCAGAGACAGATGGGTGAACATTCTAGGTTCTCCCTCCAATATCTGAGATACCTTGAGTAAGCTACTTTTTGAAATAGCTAATAGACAAGCTGTTTTCCCTGATAGGGCTGCTGCCGAGGGCTAGGTACCCTGCATAATGTCACCATGATTGGGTTGCATTCCTTAGGATAAAAACAGAGCAGTGGCACTCAGATATCACCATTCACTCTGTTTCCAATAACATGCTCCTTCTTGCCCATGATTCTGGTACCAGGAGGACCGTTAAAGTGGAGTGGACAGGATAAGAATGTAACTCTACTCACTCATGCTACTGGAGCCATTCTACCCTTCACCTGCTAAATTTCTTCCCTCTGGGGAGTGAAGTGGGAAGAACAGTTTTTTCTTGTCAAGAATGAAATGCAAGGGCCTGAACTGGGATTTAAGCAGTTCCAATTGAGTTGATTGTCTCAAGCTTGTACTTTGTTTGAATATAGCCCTTTGATCTCCTGGTCAATAGAAGAGATCAGAATCTTCTGCCCTTCAGCCTTTTAATCCCTGGGCAAATGTCAGCAGGAGCTCAATAACATAAAACTCCTCAGATTGGCCTTAATTTTGCTGTGATATTCTGCCAGAGAAGCAGAGCCTTCCATTAGTCCTTTGTTCCATGGCCAAAGAAAGGGGCCTTGGAGCCTTAGGAGCCCCAAGGAGCAAGAGTTGCCTGACTAGATAGAGATTGAAAAGGTGTTTTAAAAATATCTATCTCCTTGGCGATTGTTCTTAATAAAATGGTTTGACACACGCAAGTATAAAACATTATATTATTGTATTCATTATTTATTTGGTAGAAAATATAATCATCTTTTTAAAGATATTTCACTGATTTTTGTTGTTTTCATTCAGAGCTTCAGTGTGTCCAAGCTGCTTCAAACCAGCCAAAAATAAACAGGTAATTAACTTTAATTTTATACAGTTACCAATACTTGTGCTCCAAACACCTGTATCTCATAATAGGCACTCTGGTGCTTTCTAAATATTTTGACCTTGCTGGCTGAAGTTTCATGAGATCCCATTCAAAACATCTGGAGAATGCAGAGTACTTACCACGGGCTTAGACTTTTTAATATACGTATCTTTAAAAACAGGCAATTGCTAGTTGCAGATTCCTTAGTTGCCATAGTATATTTATTCTTGTCTTTTATCATTATTTGGATTATATAGTTTTTAATTTTTTTAACTGCCCAGAATTTGCAAAATGGGCAGTCATATGACATAAATAAATAAGAATATTTATGTATAAATCATGTTAACTCCAATATAAAATAGGAGAGGCAGTTTGGTGTAGTGGTTAAGACATCAGGCTAGAAACTGGGAGACCATGAGTTCTAGTCCCACCTTGGGCATGAAGCCAGTTGGTGATCTTGGGCCAGTCACTTTCTCTTAGTCCTAAGAAAGAGGCAATGGCAAATCATTTCTGAAAAACCTCGGGCTTATTTTGGCAGTCTCCAAGAATCAGAGACAATTGAACAGAAGGAAAAAATAAATAAAAATGAAGAAAATACAGGGAGGCACATACTTCCCAGGTAAGATTGGCACCCAAAACAGTCTGAAGTTAGAATTTGTAAAACCTAACTCTCTATTAAAAATGTAAAACATTTCTTCTATAATAAAACACCAAGCTTAGAACAAAATAAGGAAGCATCAAACAAAGGGAATATTACCAGATAAGCCATTGAAAAATGGCTTCCAACTTGGCTAAAATAAATAAAGTAGAAAGAATAAGGTTTGCAGTGTCTGATAACTTGAGTAATATTTTATTTTTCTCTATAGTCAGTCTTCACCAGAATGGCCGTGGTAAAAGCTTTGGATATGATTGATGAAGAAGAGTTTCATAAGTAAGTCACCCCACATTCACACACAACAGAAAGATAATCAAGCAGCATGTTGGCAGATGCTTAGAAAATAGTGTTTCTACCAGCAGCCAGTATGAGGTTTTTAAGAACAGGAAATAAGGCCGACTGTAATTTTTATGACAGTGATTGTGTGATACAGTAGAGGAAATCTATTGATGTAGTGTGCCCTGAAGTCAGTGAAGTGTTTTGAAAGGTTTCTCATATTTGCTTTGCAAACAGAATAAACAGATATATGCTAATTAGTGTTGCGGATTGGTAGATTTGCAACTAGTTGGATAGCTGCATCCAAAGGGTATTCTTATGTGGTTCTTCATCATCCTAAAAAGAAGCAATCAGATTGGCTTCCCCACACTCTTTCTTTGAGTCAGCAATATTCAATATCTTTATAAAAGACCTAAAAGATGAAGTGGAAGGAATTATTAATAGATTTACAGATGATCCCAAGTTGTAAAATTGTGGAAACTTATCAGAGGGTCATGAACAACTAGAAAGAGTGGGCAGCAGTATTGCAAACTATTTTTATAGTATCTTTATTTCAATATTCAGCCAATATAAAGTAAAAAAAAAAAACCCACACTACGTGATTAAGAATTCTAGCATAAAAAGAGTAGGCCTAAAAACAGTCAAGACAATAATGATATGGGTTAGGCATGAGGACAAAAAATGGTAAATAAAACCAGAACCTGTGCTGTGTTATTTAAAAAAAGAGAAATCATGGCCACAAAAGCTGTGAAATTGGGCAACAGGAGTCATAAAAGCAATTTAGGCATGTGTCAAGCACGGATTGCTCAAGTTAACATGTAATATTCAGTGGATTTTGCATGCTCTATGTCAGGGGTGTCCAAACTTTTTTCAAAGAGGGCCAGATTGGATGAAGTGAACGTGCTGGAGGGCCGAACATTTTTCCGAACATTCTTTGAACCATTACAATTTAATGCAAATGAATTATTTTATGCCTCTTTCCTCTCCCTCTCTTTCCTCTTTCTCTCTCTCTCTCTTTCCTTTCCCTTTCCTCTCCCCTCTCTCTCTTT